GTAGCTGTTAAGTGTTAGCTTCCCCAACCATAGTCACCCTCCCTCTGCCTATGGGCCAGGGGCGTGCGCTGGGCACCCAGAAAATGAACTGTGAAAAGATTGGTGTAAGTGACATACCCATCGCCACACATGAACTCTGTGGCAGAGACAGGGATAGAATTGAGTCCTTCAGGGCAGCATTCAGCTGCCATAACCACGAGACTCTTTTCTCTTCCTACAGCCTTGCCTCATGCATGGCACAGCGCCCAACTTCTGCACCGAATGTGATCATGAGCACACTGTATATGCACAAGGAGGCTGAATACTCCGCACCCCCAATCATTCCCCTTCCAACCTCCGTTCTGCACTTCAATTAGGCTGTAGGAGTGACAATCTTTGCTCTCAGTACTCGTGCCTGGCCCCCCAGCAGCTGGGAGCAGCAATCGCAGGAGAAGTCTTGCTCAGCCCTGATAGCTCTTCACTCAGAGAGAGAGAGAGAGAGAGAGTGTGTATGTGTCTCTCTCCCCAAGGCCACCCCCTGCCACATTTCACATTCCCGCTCCAGAATGAAACGGGTCAGAGTTTTTGATTGACATGGGCACAAGAACGTATTTTACCTGATCTCATTCTGAGAAGTGGCTGAGTGGGTTTGGCTGAAGCTTCCCAAAATAATTCAGCTTGAGGCAAACATGGGCCTGGGAAATATCAGTCCAAATGCATAACGTTTGGCAAAGTTATAAGCACTGAAAACAGGGTATTGTAAAGGGAAGCATCAGGTCACCTTAACAATAGGGGGCACTGGCAACTCTGTACAGCATTGCAGGGAGGGGTCGTGTGGAAGAGCATCGGTATTAACTGACTCCAGAGTAAATCTGCTTTGTTTGAAAATAAAGAAGTCTCTTTCCTAGCCCCAACCCCTAGGATCCAAGAACCAAGCCAGGCTCCATCATCTCAGGCATGAGGCACAGACAAATCCAAACCCTTCCTGATACAGGTACACCTACCCCTGCTGCAGTCACACCTTGAATTGCCCCCGAGTGCAGTACAGCCACCGCAGTCTTAGCAGCATCAGCTCTGCACGGCTAACAGGAGAGAAATGCAGGGACAATGTAGCATAGCCAGTTAAATCTGTACGTCTGGGAAGGATGAAGGGCCAAGGACCAACTGAACATGCACTCCCAGTGCGATACTGTTGGCTAACACACTATGGAAGGGAATAGTTAGGAGGAGGGAGGTGGTATTACCTCTGTACATGGCCCTAGTGAGACTATCACTGGATACTGCATCCAGTTCTGCTGTCCACACATTAAAGAAAGGTTTAAGATTTGGAAATGGTTCAGCAAAGAGCTACAAGAATTGCCTGGGGCCTGGAACCCCCCATGAGAGCTCAGTGAGAGACTGAAGGAGCTCAATCTATATTTAGTTTATCCAACAGAAGGGGCAGAGGTAATTTCTTCATGGTCTCTCGGTACCTACATCGAGGTCTTGCTGATACTACGGGGCTCTTTAATTGAGCAGACTGACAAAAGCAAAATAAGCTGCAATGGCCAGAACTTGAAGTCAGCAAAATTCAAACTGAAAACAAGATGCAAAATGTAAAGGAAGTGTAATGAGCCCAGGCTGCTTCCTCATCACTTGGTGTCTAAAATCAAGACTGGCTGGCTTTCCAAAAGCTGCACTTAGGAATTGAGCTAGATACACAAACCACTGGGTTAGGTTCTGCAGGAGCTCTGACTAGATGATCAGCACGCTCCCTGCAGGTCACAGAGCTGCGCAATAAAAAGGTACCATTTTTACATCAGCTCTTCCAACAGTAGCTGCACTCTGAGAGGGTCTTTGGCGAAATTCTCTCCAGTATCTGTCCAAGGCTGGCAGCAGGAGGTTGGCCATCAAGGGCTGGGGATGGCAGGGCACCATGGAACCAAAAGGGAAAGGAGGGAAGCTGGCAAAGAAGTAGGCAGCCTGCTGGTGGGGGAGATAAGGTGAGGTGGGTAGGAGGGAGGCTGCTGAGAGGGAAGATCCGTCCATTGTCTGCAGGACCCACCTTCCTCTCTAACTTACAAGGTGTGACCAGAACACCCAGGGTGCAAGGGAGGCTTCAGGTGGGGACATGAGGCTTGACCTGTGTTACCAGCATAGGCCCCCCCACACTGGCATTGCCATAGCCCAAGACGCAGAGCCTTAGCTGTTGCAGCTGCCACGGGCTGTGGAAGGAGTGCTAGCTCCTAGCAGGGCCCTTGGTTTGTTATTGTTCAGTTTCATGCTCCTTTCTTTTCTTTGCCAGAAACAAGACACAAATAGGTTTGAACAACCAGCAGCCAGCAATTCCCAGCAGCGACAGGCGAGACTCATTCCCACAGTCCAATCCCAGCTACCACATGGGGGGAGGGCCAAGAAACACTTTCTCCTAGCTCTGCATTTTCCAAGGACCTTTGGCTTGAGGCTTGTTTATGGGCAGGCTGTGGACCTTGCTTCTTGGCTTGGTCATTCATTACCTCTGCCTTACCTTTGGCACAGGTGGCTGGGGAGTGTTACAGAAACACCTGTGATGCTGCATTCACACATGCCAGGCCTTGCCCCCGGAGCAGCAGCTGGAGGATCTAACCTGACAGTCCCAGGGCAGAGACACAACAATGGGACGCGGGCCTTTCCCTACAGACACTGCCACGTTTCCAGCAAACAGCTGCATGTAAGGGCTTGTCTTTGCTGGAGCCTCCCTCCCTGCCCCCACCCTGTCCCCCAATACACCCCAGTTCACAACCTGCCTGAGCTCTGAACCTGCCAGAGCCACAGGGGCAGGAAATTCAATCCAGGCTTTGCCAGGACCCATCCTTTGAAGGCATTTATTCACATACAGGCTCAGTAGTGAAATACATACGTGTGATGGCTATACTATGCTCTTAGCCTTCCCCAAGGGCTTCAGGCACCTCAGTGCCACCGGGAAGCGTGCTGTGGAAAGGCCTGGCTCACAGGCTGGGGGCAAGCACGGCAGGGGAGGGAGCCTTTCCAAAGACTGTGAATGGCTATCCAACTACAGAAGCAGTTTCTCCTCCCTTGGTGTTCACACCTCAACTGCTAGCCAAGCACCTCACCCTCCCTGATTGAACTAACCTCGTTATCTCCATACTGATTTATACCTGCCTCTGGAGATTTCCATTACTTGCATCTGAAGAAGTGAGGTTCTTACCCACGAAAGCTTATGCTCCCAGTACTTCTGTTAGTCTTAAAGGTGCCACAGGACCCTCTGTTGCTTTTTCCAAAGTGGGTGGGTGAGGTGGGAGCTAGTAAACAGGTGCTGGCTGGGCAGCTCTGGCTACTGAACTCGCAAGGCCCATAGCACCATGGCCTACAGATCGGCCCCAAGGGTCAGTGGGGAGATGGCACTGGGGGCAGGGGGAGTTGTGGGACACAGGCTCCAGCTCATTGGGAACTCAGACCCCAGACTCATTTGCGAGGGTCAGTGCCAAGTTGAGCTGGATGAGACGTGGGGATGAGGTGCTGTGCATGCTGCTGCCATTGCCATAAGCCCATGCCACCTTCTGACCCCCCTGCCCCACGCTGGGGGCACAGCAACTGTTCTGTGAGAGGGGCTCTGGAGAGTGGTCAAAGCCGCTTTCCTAGACTGAGCCAGGGACCAGCCTGCTCTCTGAGGCAAAGGCAGAGGGGCCTTTGGGTTTTTTTTTGCCTAGACCCAATGCTGACTTTGGATCCCCAATCAGACATGTCCCAAGATGCACCTCCTCAGAGTCCTCAGCCTGGAACCGCCCCCACATAGGGTCCTGGAGCCTAGAGAGAGCGGGACAGCTGGGGAAGATGCCAAAGGAAGCTCCAGCATGAACCTGCTGTTCCAGCACTGAGCCCTGTGTCAGGGAGGAAGGGCCCGATCCTGCCTCTCCCCACTCCACCTCCCCACAGAAGGCCCTGGGAGCGAAGGGGACTCAGCCACCCACAGGATCAGGACCCAGCAATAAAAGGCCCTGGGGATGGGGTGAGTGACCTCTGTGGGACCCCTGCCCCATTTCAATCTGAGTTCATTTAGGCAGCTCCTCCATGTCATTGGTGTGGGTAGTGCCCCCTGCTGTGCTGAGAAACAGGCCCTGGGACCCCACTGACATGGCCCTTCTTCCGGCCCTCCTGGGTCCCTCAGATGGGAAGTGACTCCCCCCCCCGCAGACCAGGGATGCTCGTAATGCCACCTGACCATGGCACAGAGAGAGCATGCAGCTCCCCCAAGGCACGTCTCGCAGCCTTGGGCCCATCAGCCTTCCACTGTTTTGCCAGTCATGGGGCCGGGGCCAGAGAAGCAGCCAGTGGGTCCTACATTCCAGAGCCTTCCTCCCAGAGCTCAGCCACTGAGCAGATCAGTGAGGGAACTGCCTAGTGCTGCTCTGGAGAGCCAGGCCTGGCATCAGCAGGTCTAGCTCCACCTGCACTGTAGTCCTACAGCCTCCTATCCCAGTCCTATGCCATGACCTTCCCACACCCCAGCTCTGCCGCCACCCTGCAGTGCCCCCTGCTGGTCTCTGAGGGGCAGGTGAGCCAACACCACCAGCTCTGAGGAGCTGGGCTTCGCTGATGCAGACAGATGAGGATAACCAGTGAGATCCCAGCACTCCCATTGCCATTGGGGATCCAGGACAGGCTTTGAACCTCGGCCCATGGAGGTAAAAGGCCAGTACCCAACACTGAGTCACCCTTCAACTGCCCTCACACTTAAGAAAACATGAGTAAACAGCCATCAGCACAAACCAGCTGCGCCCGGAGGAACGAGACAGGCTGGTTCAGCTTGTAGGTCAAGGTCTAGAGAGCAGGGACTTACTGAAATCGTTACTTATTAATTAAAATGGAGAAGCAATTAACCAAATGCCCTGCTCCCAATGCAAAGCTGCCAACAGTTCCATCAAGAACATCACCCCATGCATGGCTAGCTCCCGCCCATAGCTTTGACACGAGTGCCCTGCTCTCCCCCACCGTGCTGGCTCAGGGTGGCAGCAGCGGCCCAAGGAAATCAGAGCCTTAGCTCGGAGATGCACATTTATTTTCAGCCAGGACCTGGCAGGGCTGGACAAATGGCCCCACAATTCCAGCGGGACCACCTGTGCAGAGCAGCTGTGGGCCCCATCCTGCAGGGTCATCTGCAAGTTCTCCAGTCACATCGCTGCCGGATGCTACTTGGTTTGTCCCTCCCCAAACCCAGTGACAGGAGTGGGCCCTCCCAGTCCATGCCTGACCTGCGCTATCAGCCTGCAGTCCAAGGTGCAAGACTGGAGCAGCCACTTAAATTCAGAACCAGCCCCCACTATGTCTAGCTAGCAGATCCAACCTGACAGACAGCTCCTTGCCAGCAGACACACGGGCCCTCCCCCTGCAATGGGAGCTGGGTTAAAGTGTGTGTGTTGGGGGTGCTAATCATGGTTCTCCCAGCATGGTCAGCTGGTTAAGGGTCAGATCCCTCCGGTGCAGGAGTGTGAGGGCTTGGAGCAGTCGGGTTGTGAGGGCCTGACAGGGCTCCCAGAGAATCCCATGCTTGCTGCCAAGTGCTTGTCCTTTCCCAGCAACAGCACCCCCTGGAGGAGCTCTGGTTTCCCAAGTGCCCGGGTCCATGCAGAAAGGGAGGTACTCAGAGCACAAAAGGAAGCTACTGACTGAACCAGTCTTCTCTGGCTTGGAGGAAACAGTGTAGTGGATCATGTTGCTGAAGGCAAATAAATACATTAGACAGGGAGGGGACGGGCTTGCAGCCCCCCAGGCATCTTGGGAGCACACAGACAGGCAAGGCAAGGGAGGCAGAAATCCACCGACACTCATGGGGACTTGAGACAGACCATGAGTCACTCAGCAGCGTCTGCTTCCATCTGCATAGCACAGGGGGCGATTGCAGGGGTTACTGTGGGGGGAAGAGGGGTGTGGCTAAACATGCCTACAAGAGCATATGAGAACATTCAGCCCCGGAGTTACCCCTCCCCCCCCCAGGACATGAGGGGACAGTGCACATTCCAGTCCTCCCCAAAGCAGCCTCACAGTCACAGGCTCTGAGCAGTGCAAAGTGTACACATGACATTGGGAGGGGCGGTTGATACGCTGTGGCATGGGGATGAGCAGATCTGACACCCACCCAGGCCTCCGAGGAGCCTTGGGCAGCAGGCCTTCCCAGCTGATGGCCCCTCCAGCCCCAAGAGCCCAGCAGCTGCTCCCTGGCTAGCTGCTGTGGAAGATGCGGATGCGCTGCACGATGTCTTTGCGGCAGAGGGGGCAGATGCGCAGGGTCTCGCAGCATGTTTGGCAGCAGCACACATGGCCACAGTTCAGGAAGATCATCTGGGCCTGCAGGAAGGAGGCAGAGTGGAGATGGGGTTCATACTGCTCCTGCCCCATCCACCGCACAGCAGAAAGCCTGGTGCACACAATCACCAGCTAGGCCTTGCAGCACCCTCCAGGTAGAAGAGCAGTGTCACTCCTCTTTTACAGAGGGGAAACTGAGGTACAGAGCGGGGCTGTGAATTGCCCAAGCTCACTCAGTGAGTCCATGGCAGAGCTGGGACTAGAATCCAGGTGTCTTGATCTCTGGTCCCTTTCTCTAAGCACTGCATGTTTCTATTGAAGCAGATCCAGTGTTGGGCCCAGCTTTCACTCTCCTATGTTCCCGAATACACTGAGCAAAGCAGGGCTCGCGAAGCAGAGAGCTCAGGCACCACCACTCTGGAGAGCTGGGGTTGGACAGAGCTAGTCTGCGGGGATCAGGGCTGTCAGCAACCCCCGCCTGACCCTGTATCTTGCCCTGTCCCATTTTCAGGGATAAACCCAGGTGAAAACTCAAATCTCTCCCCCACCTGCCAAGTGACTCATCCTACTCCCCCATCCCGCTTGTGAGCACCCCTTGGAAGGGTCAGCATCTCCACTCGCTGCTCTTCTCAGCCAGCTGTTTGGCAGCCCAGGGCTGGGCTCGCAGACGTGAAGAGGACACACTGGGCTCTTGGCAAGTGCCGAGGATCAGAAGCAGCTCCCTACAGCAGCCAGCTGTTGAGGCAGGAGGTGGTGTCGTGTGCCTTCCAGCCTCCACAATGGGAGAGATGAGAGGGCCCTGCCCTGGGCTAGGCTGCTGAGCCCACCCAGTAGGTCAGCTCCGGGAGCTCCCTGCTATACACTGCTGCACAGCTGCAGCATTCTAGCCATCAGTCCCTCCACCAGCTCCAGGATCTCACCTCCTGTTCCATGCAGACCACGCACTCAGACTTCCTCTCGTCCAGCTCCAGCTGGGGTGCAGAAGGGAGGGTTTCTTCAAGGGGGGCGCTCGGCTCTGGGGCAGCAGGGCCCTTGGTCTCAGTGCTCTTCAGCAGCTCTGCAGTCAGCAGGAGAAAGCATGAGTGCCAGCACTAGCCTTCTCTTAACACCAGCCCCCAGGCCAAGCAGTATATCACGGAGCCCTTCCATCTGAACAGTGGGAGGCTGCAGCAACAAACAGGCTCTGCAGCTCCTCCCAGGTCTGCCTCTTCTCCAGCTCCCATTCAGCCCTGCACATTCCCCACTCCCCACTTGGGCTGTCCAGTGCCTGCACAGAGCTGCAGACCTTCAGCCCAGAGGACTAGGAGGCTGCTGGACGCTTATAGAACACTGAGGCAGAGGAATAAGTTGATGGTACCTGGGATTGTTTTAGCCACAGCCAGGATCTCCTGGGCTCGCCTGAGGATCGCGCGCTGCAGGCCAGTTTCTGTGATTCCAATCTGCAACACAAGGAGAGGCCAGTTAGCTCTGAGAGGCCAGGGCTGAGAACAGAGCCCCTGGGGAGGCAGAGCGAGAGGGAGGCCATGTTTCCCCAAGCAGGATACACAGCCTGGGCAAGGCTCGTCGGCTTCATGCCGCAATGCCTTGGGAAGCAGGCGATGCCTTCCTGCGTCTCCACTGGGCCCTGGAGCAGAACAGCATTTATTGGCATGGGCCAGCAAAAGGCCCGGAGAGCACTCAAGGGAGGATGAAGGTGCCAAGCCAGCTGTACGGATTCCTTCCCAGCAGATGCTGCAGGGGGTAGCTTCTGCACAGCAGCAGCCGTTTGTTAAGGCCCCTGTGTCAGGGGACAGGCCCTTGGAAGAGCACCCAACTGGATCTGGCACATGCATGAGGCACTTCATCCAGCCTCCTCTTCTCTCCCCCCCGCACACACAACAGTAAGCACAAAACCCAACAGGGCTTCCCTAGGCTGCCCAGGCCCAGGGCCATGGCAGGATCAGCCCCTAGAGTGCAGGGCAGAGGCAGGGAGTGACATTACAGGGGCGTTTGCCATCATACCTTTGCCAGGTCGCTGAGGGTCATGGTGCTGAGCATTTCCAGCGACAGCCGATGATGGGCAAAGATTGGTACGTACTGTTCAGCCGACAGTTCGATTAGCAGGTTTATCAGCTGCCTCTCCAAGCCCTCCTCCTGCAAAAGACAAGGCAAGTCCCAGCCATCCCCCGGCCAGGAAGCGCGCAGGGTCAGCTCCCGGTCAGGAAGCGCGCGAGGTCAGCCCTGGGTCGGGGGGAGACCCTGTTCCAAAGTCACATAAGAGGAACAAGCACTGCTCCCAAACCGGCTCTCTAGGCCAACCCCCTGCTCTAGGTAATCACTGGTTAGAAGCCTTCCTCAGAGGTATGTTTGCTCCCAAAGAGATGCTGGATCCCTGGAAGCACTGCTGCATCTGAGCAGCATTTGCACCTTTCTAGTTTACCTGCCACGTCCCAAATGTTCCATTTCTGGAAGAGTAAAACCAAGGGTTTGACAGTTCCATTCTGGCAGGTACCTGCCCTCCCAAAGTGCTTTACAAACTCCAGTCGATATGCAAGCCAACCGGGATCAATTCAGCCATTGCTGAAATCAGCCACCCGAGCCACCACTCCAGCAGCTCTGTAACAGTGCACAACACAGGGCAAAAGTTATGGGCAGGAAGTGAAAAGACTCCTGCATTCAACTGAAATTGCAGGGGGATTTGGGGAAGCTGAATGCAGCTACCTGAGCTGAAGTTTGGCTAATACCAAAAGTCCTATTCTTAAAACAGCTCACAGTGTAATCACCACCAGGAGCTAAAAATTCAGGCTGAGGCCCATCCCTCTGGCAGCCCAGCGCCCCCAGTGCCATGCTGGCTTTGGCTCACTGCAGGCTCAAAGGGAAGAGCATCTCCTCCTGACAGGCGCACTGGGATTTCTGTGGAGATGCTGAGCAGCCCAACCCTGCCTAGGGCAGGGAGGTCTAGCAAGGCACCGCACAAGGTGATCAGAGGAAAGCAGATCTGGTAGCGTTTCAGCCGTTGTGGTGACACTGCTAATGGAACCGCTCTCCAGCCCTAGCTCCAGCTGAGCACGTGGGCAGGGCAATGGAAAGTGCTTGTTACCGGCTTAGATTTGGGGCAGTGCCTAGTACCATGGCCCCCAGGACTACCACAATCCCAGCACTACCCCGCAGTGACCTGGAGTTTCAGTGAGAGAGGTTTCTGGTTCAGCAGGCGCTGATACTGGATCAGCCAGTAGTTCTCCTGCTTCGTTTCACTTTTTGCCTCCATCTCCAGCTACAAGAAAAAGAAGGTGAATTAGAACCCGGGCTCTAGGGAGTTTGAATTGCAGAGCCAAAGGGGAAGCCAACAGCACCGTCAGTGTAGAGCAAGCTCAGAGCCCCCGATGGTAGCTCACATTGCCATGGAGTGCCAGGGCTGGAACCTTAACGGCCTCCTGGGGCTGGCTCTGCTTTGATCCCCACATCCCTCCTCTTGCTCACCCCCAGGATTCTCCATCTCCCTTCCGCCCCCACCCTCCAGGCACCCTTGTCCCACACGCTGGGACCAAACTGTGCTAAGGGGCTGCCAGTGGCTATGGCTTGAGAAGATGAAGCACGTCGGCAGGCCATGGATATCGCATAGGGTCTTGGTGTCCTACTTCCCTCCTCCCCTAGAAACAACCACTGCAATGGTAATCACTGGTTAGAAGCCTTCCTCAGAGGTATATACCATTGCTCTGGCAGGGAGGGAGTATGCATGACCTCTGCCAAACACAGTGCCCACACTGGTCCAGAGACACTAAGAGCCTGATTCAAAGCTCTCCAAAGTCACTGGCAAGGCTCCCATTGACACTAATGGGCCCTATGAGCACAGAATATCACATCCGTCGTCTTGGTCCCCTTTTCTCCCCCCTGGCCACCCCCCACATAGCACTGCCTGTTGCTCCTGGTCTACGCAGAGTCATTAACAAGTCCCACCACATACCAGGATTTGTTGCAGTTCCTCTTCCCTTTGCTTCTTCTCCTTGAGCAGCTGCTGCAGCATGTAGCTCAGGGCTCGGCGTTGCTCTGTGATCACCTCCTGCAGCAGAAGCAGAGGCAGCCCTGTCTCCAGACCACATGGAGGCTATGGCAGGGGTGCAGCTGCAGAGCTTTGTCCCTCAGCCACACCCCACAACCTCCAGTGGGCAGAGCATTTATTTTGCTCAAATACTCAACCAAAGTTTTTGAGCCATGTCCAACTGAACCTCAGCAAAGCTGAGCAGACGCCCAATCCCACTCTTGGGGAGATCTCTGCTGGGGGCCAGGGGTTGCTCCCGTGCGCATTAGACCCAGTAATGGCAGTTCCCCCATTCTCAACGTACCGCCCTGCACTTGTCCATTACCCCAGTCCTGCCACACACTGTGCAGAGTGACCAGACTCACTGAGGCAGCCCTTCATCCATAATCCACCCGCACACTCCAGCTGGTGACTCTGCCTCGATCTATAGCAACAGGAACAACTGTATTCCCCTTCCTTATCTGCAGCAAGGCCACAGAGGCTGAGCTCTGCAAACCTGCCAGGTACCCAGGTGGATGGGGACGGGCCTAGGCAACAGCATCTCCATGGCCTTGGAGATGGTTGGACTCCTCGAGATCTCATGAATATCAGATAGAATCAGGCCCCATGGCAGGGGGCTTGTTTGGTTTGATGGAGCTGTATGTCACGGGGCTGGGATTTGATCTTCATTCTATTGTATGCTGCCCTGAGCTTGGGGCTGTGGGGGAGGGGAGGATGCTGTAGAGGTGCAGTCCTCATTGTAAACCATTGTCATCAAGGACAGTGATGACAGCAGAACAGCTGGAATACCCCTGGGACATTACAAATCACAGCGCCTCTCGTTGGTCACGACAGGGGTGCAGCTGCAGAGGTTTATCCCACTTAGCTCTGTGTTAGTTTGGTGAAACCAAAAGAACACTGGATCTGGAAATTTTAGATGGCTGGGACCAAGGTGCCAGCAACATTATTTGGAGCCAAGCCCCCAGAAGAGGCCTGGGGAGCAGACAGATGCTCTCATCAAGCATGGCCTTGACAGGGCTAAGACACATTGCTGGCAGGAATTTCCTCTGACAGGAACAGGGGCGGGTTCTGGTCGCTGCTCTTGCGTAACTCTTGAGGGGGTTATGTCTCAGCAGAGGATTTAATGACAGAGCCCCCTAACCCTGGGTGGTGCAGCAGGAGTCTGCAGACAAAATGTGGGCAGCAGCTTCCATGAACGTGGTGAGTGTCTGAGGTCTGTGAAATACCCGCTGACTTCCTCTCTGTCCCAAAGGAAGGTTACTAGGCATGGAACACCAGCCACACAACCCCTCTGTCTTGTGCTGATCTCATTTGGAGAAGACATTTCCCTCGACACAGAACTGTTGTGTTCATGTTTGTTTGTAACTGTTGATTTCTTTCATTTCCACAGAGACACAGATCCAGGCACATGGATTCGGTGAGCAAGAAAGGGCTGGGTTTGGAGCACAGAACTGATCAGCTTCCCTGAAGGTCATAAGACAACTACCCTGGAGAGAGCCACTGGAAAGCTCTGCTGGAACATACCGCTGTGAGCAATCCGCTCCCGTCCCCGCCATGCTGTCCCACTACCCTGGAGAGAGCCCCTGGAAAGCTCTGCTGGAAACATACTTCTGTGAGCAATCCGCTCCCGTCCCCGCCATGCTGTCCCACTCCAAGCGGTTTGAGCCTCTCCCCTTTGCTCAGGGGACAGGGTAAGTAATAGCTCTGGAGCTTTAGCCACTGATGCATGGCTCAGAAGCAGCAGCTTAGCTCTCACATGACGAATCCAGCCTGGTGCTCCCCTCCCCGCATGGCCAGCTTTCCTCGGCTAGTTATTCAGGCCTTCTCTTAGGTTCCTCACAGCCCCCAGGCATGCCCAATGTACCCACTTCACGGAGGCCCCGCCGGGGAGAACATTCAAACGCAGTACCGATTCAGGAGGTTAGCCCCCTGGAGCACATGTGGCTGGAGTGCAACCACAGAGGTCTCCAATGCTGCTCTGGTTGGTTGTGGCCTGCACAGACTGCAGCTCGCACCAGCTGGAAGGGTGCTCAGGCCAGTCACTGTATAATGGGACCTAGCGTCTCTTCAGGCAGCACTTTGATACCAAAGAGGGTGGCAGCTGCAGTCTGCTCCACTTGATGCTTATCTAGTGCAACGCTTGGGCTTCAGGTGAGTTCCTGCTGCACCCCATTTTGGGCATTGATCCTGCATTAAGGGTTCAAGACAATGCATGAAACTACTGTAGAATCATAGAATATCAGGGTTGGAAGGGACCTCAGGAGGTCATCTAGTCCAACCCCCTGCTCAAAGCAGGACCAATTCCCAACTAAATCATCCCAGCCAGGGCTTTGTCAAGCCTGACATTAAAAACCTCTAAGGAAGGAGATTCCACCATCTCCCTAGGTAACCCATTCCAGTGCTTCACCACCCTCCTAGTGAAAAGTTTTTCCTAATATCCAACCTAAACCTCCCGCACTGAAACTTGAGACCATTACTCCTTGTTCTGTCCTCTGGTACCACTGAGAACAGTCTAGATCCATCCTCTTTGGAATTCCCTTTCAGGTAGTTGAAAGCAGCTATCAAATCCCCCCTCATTCTTCTCTTCTGCAGACTAAACAATCCCAGTTTCCTCAGCCTCTCCTCATAAGTCATGTGCTCCAGCCCCCTAATAATTTTTGTTGCCCTTCGCTGGACTCTTTCCAATTTTTCCACGCCCTTCTTGTAGTGTGGGGCCCAAAACTGGACACAGTACTCCAGATGAGGCCTCACCAATGTCGAATAGAGGGTAATGATCACGTCCCTCGATCTGCTGGCAATGCCCCTACTTATACAGCACAAAATGCCATTGGCCTTCTTGGCAATAAGGGCACACTGTCGACTCATATCCAGCTTCTCGTCCATTGTAATCCCTAGGTCCTTTTCTGCAGAACTGCTGCTTAGCCATTCGGTCCCTAATCTGTAGCAGTGCATGGGATTCTTCCGTCCTAAGTGCAGGACTCTGCACTTGTCTTTGTTGAACCTCATCAAGTTTCTTTTGGCCCAATCTTCTAATTTATCTAGGTCCCTCTGTATCCTATCCCTACCCTCTAGCGTATCTACCACTCCTCCCAGTTTACTGTCATCTGCAAACTTGCTGAGAGTGCAGTCCACGGCATCCTCCAAATCATGAATGAAGATATTGAACAAAACCAGCACCAGGACCAACCCTTGGGGCACTCCGCTTGATACCGGCCGCCAACTAGACATGGAGCCATTGATCACTACCCGTTGAGCCCGATAATCTAGCCAGCTTTCTATCCACCTTACAGTCCATTCATCCAGCCCATACTTCTTTAACTTGCTGGCAAGAATACTGTGGGAGATCGTATCAAAAGCTTTGCTAAAGTCTAGGAATAACACATCCACTGCTTTCCCCTCATCCACAGAGCCAGTTATCTCCTCATAGAAGGCAATTAGGTTAGTCAGGCATGACTTGCCCTTGGTGAATCCATGCTGATTGTGCTATGGGCTTGTTTATAACCACGCTGGCTAATGGGTTACCAGGGGGAATGTGGCTCAGTTGTAGTTTCTAAGCGGTCGGTGCTGAGAGTAGCTGACAATTAGGGTAAAGACACCATTCCTGACACTTTACCGACATCCCTGGCACTGCCACAGTTTGCCTATACCCCAGTCCCGTCTCATTCGCTTGACCACAGGACTTCTCACTCTTTCCCCTTGTAGCCGCTACTTTGCAACTAGCTGTGCCATGATCCTTGGGCTGTGTATCAGGTGCGTAGGGATGTGCCCAGCTCTTAACAATCTACAGTGAGCTATCTGGCAGCCTCCCAGAAGAGAGGAAATTCTGACTGGCTTGCTTCCCCAGGTATAATGAGCCTGGAAGGTTCCCTGCCACCAGAGGTCAGTTATTGGGATGTTTTATGACTAATAGTATTTACAGTCACACACACTGAGTAAGTGGCAATCGAATCTCATGCTTCAGGGTGCCAACTGATCAGTGCAGGGTGTACTAAGCAAACTATATTCCTTTGACACATCAGCTATTGGTTACAGATACCAGACTTACTGGATCAGTGACCTGAACTGGCAAATTACCCTGTGGGGTAATTCACATAGGCTAGGTCTACACTACTCGCCTGAATCGGCGGGTAGAAATCGACCTCTTGGGGATCGATTTATCGCGTCTCGTTGGGACGCGACAATCGATCCCCGAATCGACGCTCTTACTCCACCAGCAGAGGTGGGAGTAAGCGCCATCGACGGGAAGCCGCAGAGGTCGATTTTGCCGCCGTCCCTACAGCGGGGTAAGTCGGCTGCGATACGTCGAATTCAGCTACGCTATTCGCGTAGCTGAATTTGCGTATCTTAAATCGACCCCCCCCTGTAGTGAAGACCTGCCCATAGCAAGACAATTCCTGCAAAGGCACATGAAAGAAAACTAAAGCTAAGCTGCTTTAACCCAACTTGAGCTCAATACAGCTGGATGAATACTGCCCTTGGGATGGGAGGCTGGCTGGCAGAGGGGATGCTGTGATGACCTTGGAGACATGGCTTAGAAAGGAGGACAAGAGAGGTGTGGGTCATTTTTGGCAGATATTTAAACAAATTAAAATAAAAAAAAACAATGCAAGAAAACATGAGATGCTTGGAAGATGTGTGCTAGGAGATGCTCCGGCCCTGCCCAATGAGCCTGCTTCTGCCAAGTTTTCAAACTGAAAGATCTCCAGGAGCAGCAGCAATGTTTGCAGAAAGCAGCAGGAGAGGGGGAATTTGGGGAACATCCCCTTCTGACTAAGCATGAAACCACCTAGAAACTGCAAAGAGCACAGGAAGTGAGCAGAGCTTCTGAGACCCCAGAGCAAAGGTACAGGGTAGAAGAGGGGGCAGCCCCGGAGCCCTACATACCTGCAGTGTCTCTGTGTCCAGTTCTTGCCTCTTTAACTCCAGCTGTGTCAGCTGCAATAACTCTGTTTCTATTAACTTAATCTAAACAGAAGATGAAAGAGTTTTTTACTGACATTTGAAATGACTTTTATTTAGCTGCTTTAGCGCCGGCCTTAACTGCACAGCTGCCCTTGGGGAGACAGGGGGCTGGACTGCGCTTTGGGAAGCCTGTCCTCTCCCTTCGTTCTGTCAATTATCCAGGACCAAGTAAACAACCCACAAGCTGCCTTGCACTGCACTGCCTGCATGACTGCGCTGCCAGCTACTCATGCTTAGTCTCTTGCCTGATGCTAACTAGCTGTGTTCCATCCCCACACAACAGAACGCGCTTTATGTGCCTGTCTCTAAGCACCTTCTATCCTATGGCCCTGAAGTGCTTTGCAGTCAGTTGGCTCATTCAAGCCTCTCAGCCAGCCTGGAAAGTAGGGACACATTAACTCTGTGTTAATGCAGCTCCTTAGATTGTAAGCTCCGTGGGGCAGGGCCCACCTCTTTGCTAGGTGTTTGTACTGGGCACGCAACATTTGGCTTCTAGGTGCTACTACAATACAAATAACAGATACTATTGATGGGGAAACTGAGGCACAGAGAGGCAAAGTGACTTGTCCACAATCCCACAGCAAATAAGTAGCAAAGCCAAGAACAGAGCCCAGATCGCTTGTCACTCAGGCTTGTACTTGAACCATTTTTTTTTTAAATGGAAATATACCTATCTCATAGAGCTAGAACGGACCCTGAAAGGTCATCAAGTCCAGCCCCCTGCCTTCACTAGCAGGACCAAGTACTGATTTTGCCCCAGATGCCTAAGTGGCCCCCTCAAGGATTGAACTCACAACCCTGGGTTTAGCAGGCCAATGCTCAAACCACTCAGCTATCCCACCCTATTTTATCTGCTGCCATACATCCCACGACCATCCAGGAAGACACCTTTGGCATGCAGCTGACTGCTCCAGGGGCATCCTAACACTGCATTAGGTGCACAGCATGCCAATGGAATGCAGGGGAAGTGAAGGCCCAGGAGCGAAGCGTTTAACAGAGAGGAGCCCAGCAGTGAGGCCTGAGGGCCAGACATGACCCAAAGACGCCCTAGGACTGTAGACCAGGGATAAGTAGACTCATCATCCACAAGGTTTCTTGTTGCTGGTGAACTCCAGTGACGGAACCTTGCAAGGAAGGTACAAGTTCAAGCAAAAAGCACATTTGTGTGATCTGATCACTGGCGAGGCCTGTGGGCTTCCCACAAGCTGCAAAGACTGGCCCTGTTTAGCTTGTTATAGCAAAGCAAAGCCGTTCAACTTCTCCTCCCCATCTTCTACACCGAGCTCCTTTCCTAGGGTCAGACAGGGGAAAGCCTGGAGCACTTCGCTGAGAAACTGGCCAGGTCCTCTCTGTCGCTTAACCAGAGGGGCATCCTGGTGCCGTGCTCCCCAGAACTGTCTCCACCACCCACCCCCAGTAACTTGCTTCATCTTTAACAAAATGGAGATCAAACAGCAGGTTGGCAACAGAAACAAATAATAATGAGCTCATGCCGCAATGTGCAAGTCTAATGGTCTGGATGGAGATGCAATGGATTCTTATGGAGACAGCAGCCCCGCTCACTATGCAGCCTGTCACATGGCGGAGGCCTGGCTCCCTCTGGCTCATCCCTAGAAGCCAGTGCAGGATTGCTCTCTATAACCCATTCTCACGTGCTTTGGCTAGTTGAGTTTCAGATGACTCAAGTAATGGGGATTCCACCATTTCCCTTGGATCTATTAGACCTCACCGTCACTCCTCCATGGTGGAGAGAAGTGTTGTTAAATCAAATCAGTGCTGCCTGACATTTTGTGTTACACAGCCCTACAGAGACAGAAGGGTCCTTGGTTTTCCTCAGACCCTGCTCTATATATGCAGCACTGCAACTTTCCTTGCAATGGTCTCACCATTCAGATGAACAAGCTGAATCTTTGGTTGCTTCTGCTCTGCAAGTGCCAACTCACCTGGTTCCTGATCTGCCGGTGCAAGAGATCCTTCTTCACCTGAAGGGCTTCAAAGGCCGCTTTCTGCATTTCACTCTATGAAACATTACATTCTGCTTAACCCAGGAACAAGGCCCAATCATGGGGACGCAAACACACCAGCAACCCTCAGTACACTGAAATGATCTGATTTACAAACACTTCCCTGGTGCTCACCCCTGCAGAATTTGGGTGCCTCCTCACAATCCCAAGAAAGAAAACACAATTGCCCCATTTTACAGTTGGTAAACTGAGGCACGGAGAAATTAAGGCCAAACATTTTCAAAGCAGGTGTTAACAGCTGGGGGCTGATTTTCCAAATGCTATCAGCAATCTGCAATCAGGGAGAGCTGAGGGGGCTTAGCACCTCTGAAAGTCAGGCCCACAGCATCTTCCCTGGGCACCCAGAGTTAGTGGTTGCCTTGAAAACATTGGCCTGTGACTCGCTCTAGGTCACCCAGCCCCAAAACCATGTCTCCTGCCTCAGTCACCTGACTGTCTTTGCTTCCCATGATCTCCATCACCTGCCCTCCTCTCACAGATGCCTCAAAGCTTCCTGCTGGCTCTTTGGATAGAGAACAAGTCATTACATAGCTTCCCTTTAGCCACTGCAACCAATTATCCAGATTGCCAGAGATTTCTGCACCTAACTAACTATTTTTAACAAGGCTTTAGAGCAGCCAATGTGCTTGTCATGCCAGCTCTATTCCCCACCCCCATTACAGCATGCACTTAGCTTCCCTGGTCACAAGCCTACCTCTTCCAGGATCTGACTAGTGGCCTTGTTCTGATCCAGCTGTTGCCAAGCCAGGATTTGTTGGAACTTCTGATCCATCTCTGCCAGGCTGCAAGAGATACATAACCAGGGGATTTCTACAGGGTCTCAGACTGCAATGCAAATAAGAGGTCAAGCTGGCCATGGAAATGAACTCAGAGAAATCCAAGAATGGGGACTTCCTAAAACAGGAGAGTTTATTACTGAGCATGGGTGGACAGCCAGAGCTCTCATACTGTGCCATTCATGGGACTATTTATAAAAGTCTATACAAAGTCTATACAAAGACTATTTATCTAACCTGCAGTTGGCAGGTGTGTAAACTCCTTCCCACCAACCAACCCTGGCTGATAAATGAAACAAAAGCAGAGGCACAACTTACTGGTGCACCTGCTGTGAGTGACTCAGTGTCCATGCCCGACAGCTTATAAAACATCAAATGTGGGGATCATATTCCCCGGATGTAAAGTGTGGCCTCTGCTCCAAGAGGGGACTTTGTATAAATAGTCCCATGAAGTGCATTGCCTCAGTGATCGCAGAGGAAATTGTCTCAGTTCTTAAGTAAAAAGACATCCCAGTGGGTTATTTGTACTGTCACTGTCAGAGCAGAACTGCGCTGTAAGTGCAACTGATTGACGATCAATGAGAGAACTGCTCTGGCTGCTTTCAAGGGATAAGAACCAACATTCTCATGCTTTTCCTCTCCCCAAAGTGCCCCATGGATTCCAGGCCACGCAGAGGCCCCCCAAAGAGCATTGTGCGACTGCATGGCAGTGAAAGTGACTAATCAAAAATGAAATGACTGGTTTCATTATACCGTTCTTTCAGTTCTTACTAATCCAGAGCATTATTAACACTCATATTCCTCGTGTTTAAATGTAAGAGCTCTATCTTGGTGGACCCTTTTGTTCTTCAATTTTTAGTGCTGCTGTGTGCTGTTAAATAGCTGTTGTGCTCCACTCCAGAAATGGCTGCAGAGATCCCTGAGTGTATGTCTCAGAATTGTGCTGGGGCCCTTTGGAGTGAAAGGGGTTCTATAAGATTGCTACCAGTCACACTGCTCTCTCTAGGTACCTGGAGCAGGCCTGGTTGACGAGGTCTTGCCTTCGAGATTCGGAGGTCATGTGGATGAGCTTGTTCTTGTAGCTCTCCGCCAGCATTTGTTGCATGGCAGCTGGGAGACACGAAGAGGAGTGATTAGTGCTAGAAGCAGGTTAACTCTGTGTCCAGCATCGTTCCTGCTCCCCACTCAGCTACAAGAACATGCTAAAATTGGGGTCCCCCCTCCAATTTTTATTCCATTCCTGTTTCCATGTAAAGCTGCACCCTCCCAATGGGCAACCACTAATCAGGGCTTGATGAGAGGCCAGCCAGGAGAGTGCCCTGTGGAGTCTGCTCTACACAGACAACGCTCTGAGCCTCTGCAGGGCACCACCCCAGTTTCAGCTCCCCAGCAGCTGCTTGCAGGAGCAGAGTCACAAACTAGTGGTCTCACTGGGCTGCAGGTCTGATCTCCCCGCTGCAGCCTGGGGCCTCCACCCAGCTGCTGAAGGAGAGAGAACTAGAGAGATGGGTGAAAACTTTGCCATCCCACCAAGGCAGGTTTAAGTCACTGCTTTGAGGTTTGAAATACCCACGAATAGGGGCTGAGGCAGGAGACTGGCTCTGAGATAGCTTTAGCTGTCTCTGTCGCAGCAAGGCACACGCTTGCTCCTGCACACACACATTTTAATCCCAGCAGCAAATGCCGGCAGCATAGGTGAGACGTGTGTCTCTGTGTAACGAGCGCACACACTGGGCTGCTTTCCAAACTTCAAAATCAGTTTCTTCCTGCTCCTATACGGCACAGCTGGATCCAGGCAGCACCGCCAAACCCCACCCCCCCAGGGTACAGTATTTACCCGTCGTAACTTTTATGCAGGTCTGAGCCCTGCCTCATTCACCTGGCTGGTTGCCAGTTGTAGCTGGTTTGAATGTACAATGTGCTATGTGTGTGCTGGGGATTGATCCCTTGCCAGATCTCTCACTGCTCCAGCCATGGTAGTGGCCAGAGGGATGTGACTCCCCTGGGATTAGTGGTGCAGTGCAGGAGGGTAATGGATGAGCTGGCATCCAGGGACCCAGTGCTAGCTACACACCTGCTCACACCACTATTTCAGGCAAGCTATAGCAGTAAGAGTCATGTGTAGTCAGGAGCCACTCCTAGGAGGATATGGCCCTCCCTTTCCCGTTCCCCCAGAGAATATGGCCCTCACAGCCCCTACCCCCGATTCCCCTAGAGGATTCGGCCCTCACAGGCCCCCCCCCCCCCGATCCCCCTGAGAATACGGCACTCTCAGCCCCCCCCACCCCGCCCACCCAGAGAATACAGTCCTCTCAGCCCCCCTCCACCCCTCAGAGGATATGGCCCTCTCGGCCCTCCCACCCCCCAGAGGATATGGCCATCTCAGCCCCCCGCATCCCCCAGATGACCACCACAACCCCCTTCCCTTGGACTTACAGGCCACTTCCCTTCTGCGTAGCTGCTCTGTCTCCTCCTGCGTTATTGCCATCAGCTGGTCCATCCTTATTCTAAGAAAGAAGCAGGTCCATTCAACCACTGCTTCTGCCAGAGCCACATTTCACCCTTGCCCTCTCCACCCTCCTCAAAGCTGCACCCTGGGCTTGAATGGCTGAGTGATTCCATCCGGTCACTCATCCGTGTGAGCGAGAGATGCCAGGAGGAGACCTGCAGAGGCTCAGGAATCTCCAGCCACAGACAGGACGCTGCCACGGGGGAGGGTGCCTACGTTGCTCCCAGCAGGGCCGAACCAGAGGGCATTGCCAGCAGGCTGGCTGTCTTTGGGAAAACCCAAGGGAGTAAGAAGTAAGTGAAACAAAATAACTTCTATGAAACCTCTATTCCTCTCCCTAAACAGTGAGCCCCTCCTTTTGCTTCCTGTTCTCTGGGGTCCCCCCATATACACCCCACCCCCAGCCTCTAGAGTGCCAAGGACTCTGTATCTCTGCCTTGCTACCCACATCAATGGCACTGCATAAACAACAAGGATGGTGGTGATGGATGGCCCCAAAGTGCTCAACCCAACAGCGCGGCACCTTCCTGGAAACCCTCTGCCCTACAACAGCCAGCAGATGTAGCTGGGTCCTCTGACCCACATTTAGCACTTCAGGAGATTGCAGGGACCTCCTCTTTGTGGGGGAGAGGAGAGGTCAATTTTCTCATTGGAATTACAGACTGGAGCCATCTAGCTTGGTATCAGGTCTCTGACAGCACCCAAAGCACATGACTCAGAGGAAGGTGCAAGGAATCTTGCAGCAGGCAGACAAGGGATAATCTGCCCCCACATTACATCTCATCCTGATCCTGAAGAGTGAGACACCGTTTCCTCGCCCTTCCCACACTGTTAGCTGTAACAACCATGGGTATTCTGGTTATCCACAGCAATGGTCACAGACTGGTTAGTCCCTGAACTCTGCTGAGCCTGCCAGCACCCGGGCCAATTATTGCCAACCGTGGATCTGGTTCTTGTGGTGTGGACTCCTGCTTCACCAGGAACCAGGCCAAGACCCAACAAACTCATTGTACACAGGCCACCCAATGGCTGCCAGATGCAAACAACTTTCTATCCCTGCTGACTTGAGCTTGATTCAGAATCATGGCCTAGAGGTGAACGAGTCCATCCCTCCATCCCAGCCGCTCGCCCTTGCCCAGAGGAGCCTATCCTAGGCAGGGCACTTACCTTTCGTTCTCCAGGGATTTCAAAATTTCTGAACTTTGTTTCTGCCTAGAAAAATAAAGCAGAAGGTTTTTATTGCAGAGCAGGGCACCCCTCTCCCCAAGGAGTGGAGTCCTCCCTGAGCAAGCCACAAGCCACTACCACCAATCCACTGGCTTGACCACTGTCCCTGCCTCTGTGCTGGTGGAGCTGTCAGCTGCAGCCAGGGTGCAGTCCTGCTACATGGGGGCAGGAGCTATGTGAGCTCCCCCTCCCCCCTCAGGGCACAGGCATCAGTGGAAAAGGCAAGGGGCTGGGCGACACTACCTCTGGGTAGATCTTCCCATCCTCGCCCTCACGGGGGAGCCACTGGGAGGCCAACCCCATGATGGGAGGAGTGGGGGTGGAGCAGGATTCCTTCCTTGTACCTATTTTCCAAGGGCTTGGGCTAGGCGCTGGCCAGAGGATTTACCCCTTGGAGCATGGAGGAGCTTGGCAGCCTTCCTTACCGTTGGCAGCCTCATCATATAACTCCATACACCACACACACTAGCTGGTGTTCCCCCCTCGTGCAAAGCGAGAGGACACACAGTTCCTGGGATACAGCACCTCTGCAACATTTCCCTCCCCTCAGTATCTGGGCTCAGGTCAGCACCAATCCATCTGCAGCTCTGTGCCGAGCAGATTCAGGACAGGCAGTGGGAGCTGGGACACCCAAGGTGCAGCAGCTTCCACCATGGCCCAAACTTTTCTGTTCAGTTATTTGCACCAGGAATTCTGGGCTGAAAGTTTAGGTTTGTCCCCCGTTTGCCCAACACATGTGATCACGCCGCCCTCCAGTGGCCAGCCCCAGTGACAACTGCCTGTGGCTGATTTGCACCTAACAAATTTCAGAGTTCAGACTTGGGACGGCAGGACCATTTTGGTCATTCAGTCGGACCTCCAAAAACCTCACTAAAGCCAGAGAAGAAGCAAAGACTAGCAGGGCTGGGAAGTGAAACCAAAGCTCAGGTCCCCGTGAGGTGTCTTAAGCCCAAGGCCAGCGCTCTGGGGACAAGGCATAGAGACACCATGTAACTGTGTCCACACTAGAGGCTTATATCCATAGAAAGTAGGACACCTTGGATGTATGGACAAGGCCTTAGGCACATTGGCTAGTTTTGCCCACAGTCTGTACCAGGAAGGCTGTGATAGAAGGTGCCTCCAAACAAGGATTTGCAGCACGGAGGGTTTCCCTTGGGGTTGTTCTCCAGCCTCACCCCTGCCCGGCCACAGCACCACAGGGATTCACCCTCACTGCTATAATACTATATGGAGATATACCTATCTCATAGAACTGGAAGGGACCCTGAAAGGTCATCGAGTCTAGCCCCCTGCCTTCACTAGCAGGGCCAAGTACTGATTTTTCCCCAGATTCCCTAAGTGGCCCCCTCAAGGACTGAACTCTCAACCCTGGGTTTAGCAGGCCAATGCTCAAACCACTGAGCTATCCCTCCCCGCACCCCTTTCAGTCATTTCTGTGCTGCTTGGGGAGTGTGACTATGGAAAAACCTCAGCGAAATGGACAAGTCACAAGCAGCAGGTCAGCGCAAAATGGGACACAGAGAACTAAATGTGCAGAGGGGCAGCGCTGATGGCAAGGTGTCCAGGGAGGAGGCCAACCTCCGATTCTCCTCCAGAAGCTTCTGAATTCGGCTGGCAATGCCCTGCTCCGTTTGCTTCAGTTGCTCCAGCAGCTTCAGGTGCTCTCCCTCCAGGTTGCGCTGATGCTTTGTCAGACCTTTCTCCAGCCTCACCTGCTCCTGTGGCAAGGGGAAAAGGGAAACTAGCCGAAGGGAGAAGTGACAACTCTGCTGAGCTGTGCCCACAGCCCGTGAGAATCGCGGAGGATGGTGTTTTATTACAAGGAGCTGAAAGGTTCCAAAAGGGTGGACAGGGAGCCTATCCAGAGCTTACACCGACACTGACAGCATCACGTGAAAGCTAGAGACACTAGAGAGAGCATAGACATGCTAGGTCACCTCTAGGCCAGTGCAGGACTGTCCCTGCAGTCCCTGAAAGACCCTCTGGAGAGTCAAAAGGAGAGGAGAAACTGGGAATAAAAATGACAGAGAGCTGAGAGGAGCCCTGTCAGTGCTGCCTCTGGGGGCCCCCTCTGCATGGGTGGGGCCCACATGTCGATACATGAAATGCCTGTTCTGAAAGGGAGCAAGTAGGCAAGGGTCAAGTCTGTCCAGAGCAGGACAGATGGACAGTCCTGATCAAATGTACTCCCTCAGCCACAGGCCGGGTGCCAGAGCCTGGGCCCCAGCTGATGTACCTTCTTCACAGTCTGCAGAATCTCCTCCTTCTGACTGCTGCTCTGCTGAAGAAGCTGAGCATGCTCCCTCTGCCCCATGTCCAGGCGACGCTCGAAATCCAGCTTCTCCAGCATCTTCTCTTCCTGGCAGAGGAGCGAGAAGCAGAGTGAGGGTAGGGATCGGCAGCCTGCAGACTATGCCACTATTCAAACCAAGACCCAGGCTGATGAAAACAGTATCAGGGCAATGAGATCCCAACTGTACGTCTAGGCTAAACCAGCCAGGGAGCTGGAGTGCTCAACTAGAAAAATCCACTGAGGAATACACTAAGAAACTGCACCATCTACTCAGGACACTCCCTACACTAACACAGGAACAAATCAACATACCCTTAGAGCCCCCACCGGGGTTATTCTATCTAC